GTACGAAACACATTAAGTCAAATATCTCATAAGAAACTAAATGCATATTATAAAACAGCAATGAAATTTCAAAGTTTGTGAATTTCTAAAGGAATTTTAGTATTATAAAATATAACACACTTTTGTTTATTGTGTTTTCATATCATATGTATGTTCCCTTTCATGAGCACAGGTACATATAAATCCTAAGTGAAGGTCATTTGGGGTGTGGTAAGTTAAATATTGAATGGACATTATTTGAAAGGATTGTTGCAACATAGCTTTCAGTTTAAGGCTAGGCATATTGTCATCAAATCCATCAGGGAATTTAAAAGTGAACGGAAGGCTGTTCTTAGTGAATGAAATAATAATTCTTATCTTCGTTATTTATCAAGATGCAGGTTTTGTAATCTACTTATGTTGAATTTGGTATTATTTTTTAAATCCTTTAATTTCAATGAGTAATCATTTGATAGTCATGGTCTTTATCACTGCTTTCAGCTTCATTTTTCCAGTATTTAAACATGTTAAAACAGTAATTCTGAAAATGCCATCTCAGATACATGAAATATTGTCTGAAAATGCAAGATTACATGTATTATGACTCAAAAGTATCTTTTCGACAGAAAAATTTGAAGTTGACAATTTACTTGGTCAATGACAGGAAAAAATCTTAAAAAAATAAATAGGGCGCAAATTATTCCATTCACAATAACATGTACATGATGTACAGCTTTTCAAATCTGTGTGAAAAAAAACCCAAATATTTTTGAATTAACATGATTAACCTAAATATTTAAAAGGTACTACATCAGTGTTGTTAATTTCTATTTTAATGTACAAATGTCAAGTTCATTTGATATTGTAAGATAAACACATCCCCTTAAGCATTACAAATGTATTACATACATGTATTAAGAAAGATTATCAATAATAAATCTTAAATGGGTATTTTTACATACTTGGGAGTTTTAGGCTATTAGATAAGGATTGTGAAAAAGCCTTTCATTGATTCTTAATTCATTTATAAATGGTATAATTAAACATGTTAAAAGATAAATAGAATATTTTTCTTGTTTGGAAATTTGCTGAAGGGTATTATGTTTCTCAAAAATGCAAATTCTTTTAAATTTATGATTGAAAATTTCACTGTCAAATGTTAATTTGAGGCAACATATACTGTGTTATGTTTTGTAATTTAATATGTCCTTTCATTTGTTTATGTAACAATAATCTAGTCTTTAAAAAACAGACCATATATATATAAATCTCATTCTGGATTGCTAAAGATTTATAAATTAAATTTAAAGATAACAGGGACAATACATAAGATTTTATCTTTTACAGACTATTATGTATTTTCCAATATTGCACTTGTATCCCGTTAAAACTTTAGTGGTAATTGTGTAGGGACATTCCTCACTGTATATCTAACTTATACACAGGAAATTTTCTATTGAAATCACTTAACATATGAAGATGTTATATGTTGTACATCAGGAAATATTGAATTTCTTATCTGTGTGATTTAATATATGATATACGTTTATAAACGTTCAACCCTTAATCACTGTAACGGTCATGATGGTCCTTCAGCTTGTAAATGGTCATATGTTAATTGTACATACAATAACATGAATAACGATTATAGAATATGGCATTAAGAGGAAGCCTAAATAGGTGAATTATATTTGAGTGTTTTTTTGCTTCTGGGAAGTCCTGATCACTGTACGATAAGCTATTTTCACTATTATCGGTACTTAAAAAAGATGTATGTAGTACTATGAGCATGAGAAATGAAAGAAAATTGTATTGTAAGGAATGAGGAATTAAAATTCCGAATATAATTGTATGCTTCTTAGTTTCCTTTGTTTTAAAGATATTTTACACTTTATCAACCGTGTTTTAATAGTTTTAGAAAACAATAATTTGAAAAGAACAAAGAAAATAAGGAAAATATTTGATAGTTAAAACAAACATACAATGTTTTCCTTATGTTTTTTTCAATTTCAATGAAGACAACGGAAGTACTGATATAAAATATTAAATTGCTTCCAAATTTACTCCTGCTATTAATAATTTGCATTAATCTAAAAATATCTGCATTGTAGTAATGATTGATATATATATAAGTGTAATGTGATATTTGAGGAGCCGTTCTTTATTCATGTACGTGTTTCACCATGATCACTGTCCACACTTACCTCCATCTAATGTCGGTAATATTTTTTGGTTGTCTACCACATTTGCCAAAACATGATTGTCTTATTTTTATTAAGGCAAAACTCTTGATTGAAATGAAACTGCTGTAGAAATAAAACACCACTAAAGTCCTGATATTTATATTATATATTAACATGATTAAGAATGAAAGAAATATTCACAATTTACAGAATGATTGTTTGATATTTTATAAGACGATATATACATTGTACATGAATTTCAGAATACTGTGGATTCATTTATTTTCGTGGGTACCAATTTTCGTTGATTGAGGAAAACTTGCATTTTCGTGGATATTTAATTTCGTGGTTTTGACAAAGTCTGCATACATTCTTTTAGAAAATTTGTAATTTGTTGAACATTTAAATTCGTGGTTCACCTGTACCCACAAAATGCACGAAAATTGTTATCCAACGAATATTAATGAATCAACAGTAACATTGTTTGACGATATGAATCTGAAGTTGGATTCATTTTAATTTTTATACGACCGCAAAAAAAATTTTGTGGTCGTATATTGGTATGACGTTGGCGTCGTCGTCGTCCTGCGTCGTCCGAAGACACATTGGTTTTCGCACTCTAACTTTAGTTTAAGTGAATGGATCTCTATGAAATTTTACCACAAGGTTCAATACCACAAAAGGAAGGTTGGGATTGATTTTGGGGGTTATGGTACCAACAGTAAAGGAATTAGGGGCCAAAAAGGGGCCAAAAATAAGCATTTTTGTAACTTCCAGACATAACTTGTGTGTTAGTGTATGGATCTCTCTGACATTGTACCACAAGGTTCCATATCACAAAAGGAATGCTGGGATTGATTTTAGGGGTAATGGCCTCAAAATTTTAGGAATTAGGGGCCAAAAAAGGGGCAAAACACAAGCATTTTTTTAGTTTCATGACAATAACTTGTGTGTAAGTGTATGGATCTTTCTGAAATTGTACTTCAAGGTTCCATATCATAAAGGGAAAGCTGGAATTGAGTTTTGGGGTAATAGCCGAAATATTTAGGAATTGGGGGCCTAAAAGGGGACAAAAATAAGCATTTTTCTAGTTTCCAGACAATAACTTGTGTTCAAGTGTATGGATCTCTCTGAAATTGTACTGCAAGGTACCATACCACAAAGGGAAGGCTGGGATTGATGATGGGGGTAATTGCCTCAATATTTTAGGAATAAGGGACCAAAAAGGGGCAAAAAAACAAGCATTTTTACATTTTCAGGACAATAACTTGTGTTCAAGTGTATGGATCTCTCTGAAATTGTACTGCAAGGTACCATACCACAAAGGGAAGGCTGGGATTGATGATGGGGGTAATTGCCTCAATATTTTAGGAATTTGGGGCCAAAAAACAAGCATTTTTCTAGTTTCCAAACAATAACTTGTGTTCAAGTGTATGGATCTCTCTGAAATTGTACTGCAAGGTACCATACCACAAAGGGAGGCTCGGATTGAGTTTGGGGGTGATGAATCATAAGGGGGTTCAAAAAAATTGGGGGGGGATTTTTTTTTTTTTCATTTTTTTTTCTTTTTTTCATTTTTTAAAATTTTTCTTTTAAAATTTTCCATTTTAAGTTGGTTATTTCTGATTTATATTTAAAAGCAAATAATAATGATATGGTAGGAGATACACACCAAACAGGATGTGTAAATTATTATATAATAAGTATTGTGCAATAGCAAGAAATTTTCAATTGCACAGTATTTCACAATAGCAAGAAATCTTCAATTGCACAGTATTGCGCAATAGCAAGAAATCTTCAATTGCACAGTATTGCGCAAAAGCAAGAAATATCCAATAGCACAATATTGCGCAATAGCAAGAAATTGTCAATTGTACAGTATTGCGCAATAGCAAGAAATATTTAATTGCACAGTATTGTGCAAAAGAAGATACTTTGTATAAATTGCTTATTTCTTGACCAATTTCAATGGGGTTTTATTCTTGAATTCTTGGGGTTCTTTAATATGCTGAATCTAACCGTGTATTTAGTTTTTGGATTTTGGGCCCCGTTTTTAAATTGGTCCACATTGAGGTCCAAAGGGTCCAAAATTAAACTTTGTTTGATTTCATCAAAAATTGAATTATTGGGGTTCTTTGATATGCCGAATCTAACCGTGTATTTAGATTCTTAAATTTTGGTTCCGTTTTCAAATTGGTCTACATTAAGGTCCAAAGGGTCCAAAATTAAACTTAGTTTGATTTTAACAAAAATTGAATTCTTAGGGTTCTTTGATATGCTGAATCTAAACATGTATTTAGATTTTTTATTATGGGCCCAGTTTTCAAGTTGGTCCAAATCGGGGTCCAAAATTAAACTTTCTTTGATTTCAACAAAAATTGAATATATGGGGTTCTTTGATATGCTGAATCTAACCATGTATTTAGATTTTTGATTTTTGGGCCCCGTTATCAACTTTGTCCACATTGAGGTCAAAAGGGTCCAAAATTAAACTTTGTTTGATTTCATCAAAAATTGAATTCTTGGGGTTCTTTGATATGCTGAATCTAACCATGTATTTAGATTTTGGATATTGGACCATAATAGGTGAATGTCCAATTTAAAATTTTTAAGTTCTTAGACCACATTCATTCTGTGTCAGAAACCTATGCTGTGTCAAATATTTAATCACAATCCAAATGCAAAGCTGTATCAAGCTTGAATGTTGTGTCCATACTTGCCCCAACTGTTCAGGGTTCGACCTCTGCGGTCGTATCAAGCTGCGCCCTGCGGAGCATTTTATTACATGTTTTGTTGATGTCTTTAATGTAAAACTGTATTATAATTGTATATTTTCAGATGATTGTACAACATGCCTTTCATTCAACGAGGTATAGAACCAGTTAATGTCAGCCATGTTGAGGTTGACAAATCGGTCGCTAACGAATTAGAATGCGTGACCAACCACACCCTGAGTTCTGTCATTCAGCAGCTCAGTAGCCTCAGTCACCATGCCGAGGACATGTTTGAAGACCTTTCCAAGGAGGCGTCTAATTTCTTTGGGAGAGCCAATCAATTACAAAACCGAATTGATCATCTTAGGGATAAAGTAAAACAGTTAGATGCAGAAAGAGAGCAAGGTATTTTAGAATTAAGTGGTTGAGAAATAAATATACTGCTATTACTCAATTGTAGTTTATTAAACCAGGTTTTTCAACAAATAATTTTGAGCAGTATGGTGAGCTGGAGATTGTTTTGATTGATTAAACTTGAAAACTTCAACTAGTCCATTTCAAAAAAAATTTATATGTGGTTCAAAATAGACAAAATAAAGGTCGTTTGATATTGGTGATTTTCAATTTTGTCATTCAGGAGTTATGGTCCTTGATTATTGGAAAATGCTGATTTGTGTTGTTTCCATGCAATAATGACGTGATATGAGAACAGTTTAACTTAGTGGAGGTCAAGTTCAATTTTGTCTTTTTCTATCCTGTCCATATTGGGATTGGGCACAGAGTGAACAAAAAATATGGGCAGACCTAAGTAGTGGATATTGCACATCATCTCTCTCTTCATTAGACTTGCACAAATAATATTCTTAGAAAAGAGGTTAAGTTTTTGCATTTCATTGCACAAAATTTGAAGTATTATTTGAGTAGAAAGGAGTTGTCTGCCCACAATGGCATGTGGAACTGACACAATTCATCATACATTTGTATCTGTAGAGTATAAAGTTCTTGTATATTCATTGATATTGATTGATCAATAATTAATCTAAGCTGATTAATTCATATGTAAATTTAGTGTGAGTGTATTTCTATTTTCAGTTTCCTTACAAGACATACATTTAAGAAAACCATACAAAAGTTCAAATCAGCATGATCAACAGGTTGTTTCTAGGGCAACAATACCAAAATCTATACAACAGGCATATTTTGATTGTACAAGACCTCCTGCTTTGGAGAAACTTAATGAGTTCAGGTATTTAGAATTTGTAGTAATAAATTTAAGATAGTTTGTCATTAATGGAGTTTTCAAAGGTTTAAGATACATGCTGGTCTGCTTTAAAGTTAGAACTGAAATGGATCGCATTGTTCATGATAAACGATCAATTTAAGTCGTAGGTGTTTTTGTCAAAAGTAAAATAACAAAAATATTAAAATATTAGAAGGAAAATTCAAAACGGGAAGTCCTTTATTAAATGGCAAAATCAAATGCTTAAACACATCAAACAAATGGAAAACAACTGTCATATTCCTGACTTGTTACAGGTATTTCCTTACCGTAGAAAGGCTTGTATAGTCCGCGGTTTTATTATCCAAAATTGGACCTTCCAGACGGGGTGCGGACTATAGAGTACAATAAGCAAGAAATAAGAGAAAAATTTCAATTTCGCGGTCGAGGTGGTTTGTTTACGTTCCGCCATCTTTGTTATTTCTATTGTAGAGGGCGCTCTTATCATTTTTCAAACTAATAATTTTAACTCATCCATATTAATAAGTTATTTCTATTCAATATCAAATTAATACTGATAAATATAAAAACTAAACCTTTCATTACAAATTTCTCGTTTCTTTTCAATGCATTGGTTGAAATAAACTGGTATCTGCTCGATTGAAACGATACAAACATAGTGAAAAAGACAACCGTAAACCAGCTTAGAATTTGTAAACTACAAAACGAAATCGGTTATTGTTCGTTCCGTTTTGGTGTTTCATACTGACTAATATGGTTTGTATTAGCTTAAGACCCTTCAAACATTAATGTGATAGATATATTAAAGACTGTTTTACAAAAGGATGGAACTGTTTTACTTTCAAAGTCGTATTATAGTGATATCTGTTATGTACGGATTTCGACTCTCACCGGTTAATTTCTTCTTTTACACGTGCTTTTTAAACTTCCTGTTTAAACATACACAAGTTTCTAAATTGTTTTTTAAGTGAATTAAACTTATTTCAACAATCATGAAGCGTTCTAGAATCATTAACAAGCAGTTTCAGCTTCTGTTTGATGATGGAAAACAGGTTTTTCCAAGAAAATACCGCAAACGACCGCACAGGATTTGAAATTACCGGAGTTTCATTAGACCTTTTCTAACAGTTACAAAAAGTTTTTTTACCTAAAATTTCGTGGGGAGAAGGGGGTGCGGACTATGTACCACTGCGAACTATACAAGCCTTTCTACGGTATGTAGAAAATGGTGGATTAAACCTGGTTTTATAGCTAGCTAAACCTCTCACTTGTATGACAGTCATATAGAATTCCATTATAATTTATGTTGACAACAATGTGTGAGCAAAACAAACAGACAAAATAGGTAAAATGGCAAAAATTGGGGTACAGCAGTCAACATTGTGTTATAATCTTAATCACTATAAAAACAAATAACTATTTCAACAAAGAAAAACAAAAAGGCATATCTATAGACACTCTATAGACAAAGAACTTAAGCAAAAATGAAAGAATAGAATACAATAATGACCATAGCACAATAACACAATGGCATGATGTATAAATATCGAGCCAAGGAGGCTTGGTGTGTAGATCCAGTAGAGGTCCTGAACTTGAAACAGTGATCATCAATAGCGTCCTGTTTCAGAAATCTTCAGAACTGCTTTATATGTAATAAGTTATGAACAAAAGGAGATGCGGGGATAAATAGCATTGAGACAGCATCCAAACATCACACAAAACACTCAAAAAGCATCTTAATGTCAAATATCAGTCTTAAATAAACCTCAGAAAGATACCAAGCTTATTATTTTTATGCCCCCGCCGTAGCAGAGGGGGCAATAAGTTTTACGTCCGTACATCCCGAAATTGGTTTCCGTTTTCTAACTTTAGTTTGCCTCAACCAAATGTTATGAAATTTATACACAATGCTTATTACCACAAAAGATCAAGTTCGAATTTTGGTTGCTTCACTTTTACCTTTCTAGAGTTATGCCCCTTTTCAAATAGAAAAATTTCTGAATTTTTAGTTTCTGTTCTCTAACTTGACATGCTTGAGTTTGCCTCAACCAAATGTTATGAAACTTAAACACAATGCTTATTACCACAAAACTCAGATTAAGTACAAATTTGGGTCGCGTTCTTAAGTTATGTCCCTTTATAATGTTATATGCAAGCAGGGGCATCATCTGTGTCCCATGGACACATTCCCCATTTATTTATGCCAGTCGAGCATTCTGTCTTCTGTACAGAAGACTGATCAGTGACGCTCAAATCAAGAAAGTTGAAGAGCATTGCGGACCTAAACATGCTAAAAGAGTGTGTCTGTATTTGTGTCAAGCTCTTAATCAAACTAGACCTGGAAAGTTGAGGAATGTTTTACATACAGTATTAAATTTGAATGTGGTGTAGTATTGCTTAGTAAGGAAGAAAAAAAAACCCAATTGTATCTCAGTCAACTAGATATAAACATGATAACACAGGAAATAATGTTTTTTTTTTCTGTTTTTAATCATCTTGGGTAAATATATGTTGTTTATAGATATAGAAGTAGATGCTTAAAGAAGAAGGAAGTAAATTCCTTTCAATCTTGAGTGTTAATGATTTGTCAGTTAGTTATTTGTTTACATAGATGACATATTGTCAAGAGAGTCTATTGACACATGCTTTTTGTCATTAATTTTTCATATAAGTTTATACAAATAATTATATAATGAGGAGGACTTCCTTGATGGTTACAACTTGGGAATTGAAATAAACATACTGATATTATTTCATAATAGTTGAAATAAGATTCAGGTCAAGAATGTCAAAAGAATTGAAATTATTAAACCGCAATTTATTGGAAGTTCCCATATTAATAACCATACCCTGTTGTCCAGTACCTGAGGATTTCAGGAGCATATGTATAGTACGACCTTTTTCTCATTGTAACCATGGTTATAATAGCGACAGGACATGTTTCACAAAAATAAAAGCTTTTGCATTTTGAATTTTATAGCTTTAATTCTATGGAGAATTTCCTGAAATCACAATAATAAATCTTGCATTTGAGCCCATTGTTTAAAAATCACAATAAAATAAATGCACACTAATTTCTGAATTTACACTAATTTCTGAATCTACACTAATTTCTGAATTTACAATTACAGTAAATCACAGTAGGAAGCCTATTGAATTTTGGGTCAATATGTTCATAAGATCTTTTACAGTATCAATAGTAATTGATGAATTTCTTTTTCAGGGAGGATGGTAAGGACAGTATGAAGTTTTACACAGATCCTGGCTACTTCTTTGAATTATGGTTCTCAGATATACAGAAAGATATCGAACAAAAGAAAACAGAATACAAAGCAAAAAGAAAGAAGGTTCTCATCTTTTATGTGTACTCTGTCCCACTTATATGGCATTATTTGTTATTACTCTATTAATTTCTCCTGATTTGGAATTTGTTAAATGGCTACCTAATTGAAGAATGCTATATAAATGTATTATCTGTGAGGCAATTTCACAAGAGTTCACTAAATTTTACTATATAAGTATGGCCATATTTATTAGATGGTAACAAAAAATAATCTTGGTTTACATTTTTATTTTGATCATTCGCAGTTCATCTTCATAGTACTATTTCTATATTTTAGCAAAGGCCTAAAGAAACGAAAACAAGAGCAAAACCTAAAGAAATTAAATTAATCAAAGAAAAATATAAAGACAGAGCACAAGGAATAGAATTTAGTTCAGAATATCAGAACCCTCAACAAATTTTGAAAGGATTACCTTCAAATGCGACTTCTTTATCTAGTGCTGACATTCAAAATAAACCTATTCAAAACCATGTTTCATCGCCACAGCAACAGAATGATATAGACCCTAGATATTCACAGGTAAGAAAGCAAAAGTTTTTCTTTGGTAAGATATACATGATATATATCAGTGCAAGGAGAAGTCTACAAAGAAGTAAACAATAAGGAGAGTCTGTATTTTTCTATCTCTGATTGATCCTTTATATTGGTGACAGAAAATATATACTATTGACTTGACGATAGTGTTAAAGAATTTGTAAATCAATGAGTAATTTGATCAAAGACCATTTTCTATTTGGAAGGATAACCCTATATAGACTTTTACAGGGGAGGTAGAAGAACCATGAATACCATATAACATCCATAATACACTTACCTTATATACAAATTTAAAAGGAAAGCATACATTGTAACCCAGGTGACAGCCTTTTTGCTGAGTTTATACCGTTATCAGCTGTGTATAGTCTGTATTGGTACATAGTGCATGCACCCATTTTTCACCATGTAAAATCCTGAAAATTGTAGTAAACATCATTATACAATGGTTGAAAAGAAAAGAGAAATTTGAAAAAAATCGGTAAATATTTAAATGAGAAATGCATTTTAATATATATGGATTGCATAAATCATTAGAGTATTTGAAAAGAATTATGGATGCCCTCTTCAATTTCAAGAACAAACATCACCAAATTGAATATTTTTCTTATTTCTTGCTTAAAGTACTCTATAATCAGCAACCTGGCCTGGCAAATTTAATTTTGGAGTAAACGACTGCAGACAGTTCACAGCCAAATTCAGTAGTTGATTTTGTAGCAAATGTTACCCAAAATAGACCTAGCTCAATGGATTTATTGATTTTCCATTAATTTTATAATACCATAGACATTTACCCTTTGTCAGAATGTTAATTCTGTGATGAAAGATGGTGATGGATAGTGGTAATGTCACTTCTCATTGTGGGATGATATTTGCAAAAAACCATGTCAGTTAAAACTACCATTAGTTCAGCACCATGAACTTAAAATAGGTCATTATCTTCACTTGATAAAGTGCTGAGTTAACCTATTATCTTAACTTGCAGAAATGCTTAGTTATACATGTCATAAAATTCTGTTTCAGGCACATGCGAACAAAAAGTCACAGTATATGAATGGTCCAAACGAATTACCATCACCTCAGGACCCTCGAATTAGTCAGATGTCACAGCAGCATCAACAATATTATGATCCAAGCATACCAGATCATCCCCAACAACATCCTGGTCATCTACACCTTCAGCAGCAACATCAAAGAGGATCACGAGCACCGTCAATGATCAGTCCTGCTAGACCGCAGCAAGCTCCTCCTCCCCCTCCGCCTTTTGATCCAAACAGTGACAGGATGAGAGGGCAAAGAGACAGTTTGCCACCCCCTCCTCCCCCACCCCCATTAGATGCTGACAGTTATAATCATAAGTCATACACACCAAGTCCGCAGATGACAAGAAACCAACAAATGAATTACGAAATTAGAGGAGAATCACCTCAAGGAGGCTCACCAGTACGACAACCTAGTAGTTATTCTTCTAGTCCCTCGAGGCGAACACCAGATCACCTACCTCCCCCTCCACCTCCTCCACAATTCATAGCAATGCCAGAGACACCAATAGAAATTATGCCGCCTCCTCCAATATCTCCGCCACCAATGGATGGAGGTGCTCCTCCACCCCCGCCACCTCCTCCCCCTCCTCCGCCACCACCCCCTCCACAGTCAATGCCTAATGGACATGTGAGAGCACCATCGGATGGGGTGTCCATATCATCAACTAATAGTTCATCAACGATAGGAAGGACAGAAATTGAGCAACCCCCTGCACCAGTGGAAACGGAAAGAAGTGCTTTATTATCAGAAATTAGAATTGGTGATTGTAAGTACTCCTAATTGTTGCAACAAATGTTCTACTGAAATGCCAGACTTTAAAATTTCATTTTTGTTTTGAAATTTGAGATAAAGATAACATTACATTGAGACAACAGTGATTAAAGATTACATTACATTGAGACAATAGTGATTAAAGATTATAGTGCCTAACAAAATTTTGTGAGGTAGATGAAATTGACCTTAAAATGTTCGTATTGAATTTTCATGTCCAATAATAGGCAGATCGGACATATTTTGACTTTATTGGCTGACTACTTTTGTTTGGGGTAAATTGTAATCAAAACTTTATAATGAGACTGAAAAATGTTTTTTTTTTGTTAAGATAAACAATAATTTTAGCTGGCGTAGCCGTGTGTAAAATGTATTTCGGCATTTCTCTTCGAAAAATTACTTGTTTAATGGAATAAAGCATCTGATTTATAAATTTTCCCTGTTTTTTTTTTAGGGAATAGGCTATTTAAAAAATAATAATCTTCTCTATATGTAGAAAATTATGTGAAAATATTAAAAGTTGCAATTCTTACCCTTCATACCTTTAGTGTCATTGATAAAAAATAATATGGACTCTTCCAGTGTCCAGTTTGAAGGTCGTTTAAGTTACTGTACACATTCATGCAGGTTCCCATTTAATCCATATACATGTATGGAAAAAACAAACAGTTTGAAGGTAAACTAATAATAACTTAAGCCAATCAAATTGCGTAAGATTATATAACAATGACCAGTCCACATCATAATATGTAATAGGGGTAAACTGGGTAGGGAGAAAATGACAGATATTTTAAGTTCATTTTATTGTTATAACGAATAAAAAATTGTCAACCAAAAGTTTTGCTATAATTTCAAAAACATGTCCTCCTTTATTGGTATAGTTTTCCGATCTTTCATTTGCATTTTTAAGGCAATAGAAAGTTTGGGCTTCAAAAGTACATAATTATTGAATTATGGACACAAAGTAAAATCATTTCTTAAAACACTGCAAAAAATTTCATTCTGATTGGTATAGTGGTATTGTTTTAAAGTGCGTTGACATGAACCGCGGTATAGCAAACATTGAATTCCCTCACAGAATGTTATCACACACTATTGTTAGTCATTGCAATGTGACAATAGTAATCGAGGTCAATATGAATAGAGGAGAGATGGGGTATTTGTCAATGAGAATGCAACCAAAACATGCTAAAAACACAAAAAAAAGCCAAGTTTTGAGTTATTACTATGAGACACAATGGTCAAGATTATTGGTATTTTGTAGATTTTGTAGATTTTTTTAGGAACTGTAATTTTTTTATTAGCAACTTAATGAAGAGCAAAGAAAAATAACTCTTATTGTTTTAAACTGTAATTCATTACTTAAATTTGAGAATGGTTACCATATTTTTAGAGAAACATTGAAAAAGTTCAATAAATACTTGCCTGCCAATATGAGTTATTTGAAAGTTGAATCAAAATCAAGGAGTACTTTTCATCATAGCCTTACGTTACCATCATAATTCACTCACTAAAATTTATGTGTATGGTCTTCAACATACTTTCGACGTTTGTTTGTCTGCAACTGGTGAAAGGCCAAATTTGCCATACAGATCTGTACCTATTATGTCCTTGATTACATTATAAATGTTATATGGATGGTTCAAAGCAGATACTACCTAAGAAAGCTTACATAAAAGTTACATAATTTAAGCAAATAAAATGCAGGAGAACACTGAAGAAAACCCAAAAACATGAAAAAGAACATTTCTAAAAAATAAAGTTTGCTTTTTTTTCCTATTATTTTTATCAGTAACTGTAAGGGAAAGGAATTTTAAGTATTTTTTTTCTTCAAATTTTAGGGATGTCAAAATTAAGAAAAACAGAGGAGAGAAAGAGAAAGGAAGAACAAAAGAAAACACCATCAGGACGATTTGATGTGCATTCAATAATGAACCGGGCATTTGAAATGAGACGGAAGGCTATGGAAGCTAGTGATAGTGAGGGTGGTGAAGAGGACTCAGATGAAAACGGTGAAGATGAATGGGACGAAGACTGATAAAAATTATGTGAAATTAGAGAAATTTTTAATGAAATTTGTGAAAATTTGATGAAAGTGTCGTGGAAATATTTTAAAAGATAAACTATAGATGCAGCTGGTAGAAAGTATAAATGAGAAGTGTATACATGTGAACTTCCAAGCCTGTAAGAGGGCTTTCTTGCTGGAATATTTGGATAAATTTACTACATAGCTACAAAGGACACACTAAAAGCTCGGCTATAATTTGTAAATTCATAGATAAGGGCTTGCTCTAAAGTCTGTTGCACGTATGAAAGGAATGTTAAAGAGCTGTCAGATTAATTGACTTGCATATGATAAGCATTGCAAAGGAATGTGATTGTCTGCCAACACAATGCCTTTCATCCTATCTGGCTGGTAGCTATTAATCTGAAATGTTTCTTTGCAGTATTGTGAATTTGAAAGCATATTATTTGAATTACTATGAATATTTGAATGATCATGAGAGAAGATAAAGTCATGATCATTTGTTTATTTTCTCTCTATTGAAATATATTTCAGAATAATATGTAGTCCCTTTCTGATGACAAAGAAAATTTAGAAATTGCTTTTTTTTTTAGAATTAAACCTGTATAGGGCTCTTAATTTAAGGATCATGAGGATAGAATTATTAAAATATGATTGACATTCTTTTGAAATATAGGTTACATGTACGTGTCAAAATTTCAAGATTTCAGGGTAATCAACAACATGAAGAAAGAAATTCTATCATTTTTTATTTTAACCCTAAGAGTTTGCTCAAATACAGTTACTTGTAAAGAATTATTAAAGTAGTTGGCTTTTATGGTCATTCTATTAAATAAGCCTTGTCTATGTGATAGTTGTTTTCCCCACTTGTAGTTTGAATGTGAAATAATGCTGTCATTTGTATTAAATTTGAGAAAAATGACAAAAGTTCCTCCCAGTTACTGAATAGTCGACCCCTATATAATAGTACTTTCATACATTTGAGATTTTTTAATTAAATAAATATTGCTTCCAATTAATTATGAATGGCAGGGATAAGAAAATGACACAATGAATGATGAATATTAGTAATTTTGGAAGCTGAGAGGTCCAGATGTTTGTTTTTCAACCTGTAGCAAAAGAGTTGTTTAAGCTGTGTTATTATATTTCTGTTACAAAAAATATTAAAAGTGGATTTAATATAAAATTGTGTAAACAGGGCATCTTGAATATATAGGTATTAAGACTCACAACTACAATGTAGTTATATAATATGTGTATTTCTACTCTGTACATTTATAACTAAACCTAACTAGATGTACAAACTTAAATTATTTATACAAGTTATATAAATTTTAAACATTGCCAATTGTGCTTATCGTTATTTTTTGTTCGCATTTTTAAATATATATATAATAATGCATGAAAATGCTCCCGCTAGTAGAAGCTGAACGTTGCAAGGGTACTTTTATTATTTATATCATAATTAGCCAAAATATTGTCTTTGTATACCGAATCCTATCATGACTAATCGGCTGCAGGACGTAAGATTAAGTTCAAATTATACAAGTGATATTTTTACACATTGAAGTAGTTAAAAATATTTGTTTTAAGTTTTGTTGCAAACATCCATGAGATCGTGGTTTATGTAGGCCTCGGTTTACACATTTTTGACTCTATAAAGATTAAATTTTTTCAAACTCATCCATTGCATCAGGTTCTTCAGTAATTTAGTAAACAATATTTTTGCAAAAATACTTAATATTCTCTGTAAAACATGAAGAACAGTTAAGACACAATATCATTTTGGTATTGCACTAGTGCAATATCATTTGAAAATGATGACTCTAATTAATGGCAGAAGCCATGTGATTCATGTAATTTCAAACATTTTGCAATACAATATAAGGGTTATTGCACAACTTTTGGTAAATGTTATCCCTTGTAGAATAGCTATGACATTCCACAGCTAATGTTATATGAAATGTTTTACCACTTTTGATTTGAAGACATCTGCTGTCAATTCACAGTCAAGAGTGGAACATATGGAAGTCATAGGCAACACCATTGATTGGCTGCTGTCCACATTTCTGGATTATTTAAAATATTTTTTTTTAATGATTTAAAAAAAATTACTAGTTATAATTATGTACTAGTCTGTTAAACTTTACTTGGATCATCAAATAATTGATTGTTGCAAATTTTCATACACAGTACTGTTATTTCTTAATTTTAGTTCAGTAACCCAAAAATATATGATGACTTGTTGCAATGTATTATTGTCATGATTGTCATATTTTCATCATGCTACATAAACGTACGATTGTCAATGTTGTCATCTCATAAAAATTGTGATTTCAGTTGGAAAGTATTAATGAAACAACTCAGGGGATATCTTTTTGTCTTTAGAAAAAAAAATAATAGCACCAGAAAAAACTGTAGATTAGTGGATACAATAAGTGTCTTAAGTCCAGGTTATATTAAGACTGTTATTCTCATGGAATATTCTATTAGCTACATGGAAGGGCTAATTTGTCTTTTTTTTTTTGATTTGTGTGTTTGTTGAGTTAAATGTGCATGCTCATCATTTTTTCTTCATAAAATTGAGTGATATATACGTGTAATGTGTGGAAATTGTGTGATTTGTATATGCAAAGTGCTACTGTTATGTAATGGTACTAATTAGAACTAGAAAGTTCATTGTTTTAGGTAAATGATTCACTTTTTTTCTGGAAAGTGTAAATTTTGAATTTATACTGTAAAAGATAAAGAAAACCTTTAACAATTTTTTCTGGTTTAATAAATACACAAATTATTTCTACCTATTTTTTTGTATTTTCCTTTGTTTTCTTTTAATACATTGGTGCTTATTTCTCTAATTGTAAGTACTTTTTAATTTAGTCTATTTAACTAGATTAATAATTAGTAATTTCCTTTCATTAACACTGATCTCAATATGAGAGCAAATTTTCCTCCATAATGCCCCAGGTTTTTTTTCATCGAAATATTTTCTGGTGTAGAATTTCAAATTGGAACATTGCCAATGATATTTATAATATATGTCATCTAAATATATATTTGAGAAAGGAGACTGATCAGCCATGTTGTTTAGTGAGAAAACAGAGCAACCGAAGAAAGTAAGTGGGTTTTACTATACACAAAAATAAAAACATTTTTCAACAAAAAAATCAGTTAGATAACTTTTTAAAAATACTGGTGATTCTATTTGTAATATTTAAAGCTCTCTGGCATTGTGCAATTAAAAACCAAATGGTGTTGAACTTCCCTTTGGACATTGAGCAAGCGACAATTAACAATTAATCATTCCCATTTTCAAATGCAGTGCATTAGTATGTTACAGATTAGATGAAAAACAAATATTTGCTTTCTCTGTTATTAAAACAGCAAGGGCATTATTGCTATCATTAGCAATATTAATAAAATCTAGATATAAATTTCTCTAATTTGTTCACTATTTTCACATTTCCCAACCAATTGTGAAAAAATTGATGTCCTCACTAGTGAAATAACTGTTCTCGGCAAATGATTGGTTGAAATTTAATTGTGACATAAAAAATTTTTTGGTTTCTCTTCTGAATTTCCTATTGCCTGATGACGTCACATTTAAAGAACACAACTTTCTATAAATCTTTGAAAAGGAAGGATAAAAACTAAAACTAAACAAACTGAATTGCTTCCCCCTTATAGTTTGAATACTACATTTCCATTCTTTGTGCTATCCTTTATTCCAAGTAGAGCTATTACTCTCTCCATAACCTAGATAACTTCAAAATTTCTTAAGATTATTTTTCTAGGTTTTTTAGTTGTTTTTTTTTAACAAATTGATATCAGAATCTCAAAACTTTGTTATGTTCAGTAGAACTGAGCACCTATCTGTTAATAACATGTCCCTTGTTTTAGTTTTTGTTCAGTTTCAATTGTTTTGTTTATTTGTTTTCATTGTTTTGTTTACTGCTGCTTATCAAGTGTACACTATAGTCTTCCTTCGTTGTACAAAGTTGTATATATAGAGAAGTATAGATATATATATATATATATATATATATATTAAACATCTTATTTAACAAGTCATGTGCAATATTTTGTCTTATTGATGTGTACATTAATGAAGAAGCTAGATTTGAAATTGTAGCAGACTAACTTTCATAGTTCAAAGGTCAAAATTTGTGTAATAAGTAAATTGCTGTGGATACCAATTTTCGTCGTAGCAGAAAACTTGCCTTTTCTTGGATATGTGATTTCGTGGTTTTGCCAAAGTCTGCATACAACCTGATAGAAAATTTGTAATTCATTGAACATTTAAATTAGTGGTTCACCTGTACTCATGAAAACCACGAAAATTGGTATTCAACGAAAAATAATGAATCCAAAGTAGGTTTGTTTGCTGTAATAAATTAATTGAAGGTACAAATTAAAAAAAAAGGTTAGAAACATAATTAATTATATTATTAATATACTGACATAGAATTTTTGTCTTAAAATTACAAATAATGTTTTTTCTCAATCATATGAAGTTTTGTCTAAGAAATATTTCATTTGATAGTTAATTTGATGTTTAAAAGATTATGTTCTTTTGCAATAATATACATTTATTTGTTCCATTCAATTTTCAGCACATTTTCTTAAATTTCAATTATGTCTTGATTAGCCAATTCTATTGATACATTCATACTCTTTTTTATAACATTCTCTTTACCTTTCTTGCAAGGAATGTAATGTTGATGTGATGTTTTTTTTTTTTTTATAAAATCGTAGCCAGAAAGTACACACTTGAAAGAAAAATTATAATATAAAGTAAGGGAGAATTTTCTTTCAATAATATTGAGAACTATAATATCAAAGATAAAACATAACAACTAAAGGAAAAGGATTCCTGAAAACAGGGGTTTATTTGGAAATGTTATTAAAGAGACATTTTGTATATTCAGAATCTTTTATTTTCGAATAAATAGCCGTAGGTGTGTGCTTTATAGCCATGGTGGTATTGCTGTATGACTTTATCAAATAACTACACATTTACACAAGATTTTTTTTTACCACATTATTAGGAAACTTGTGTAACAATTAAAATCAATAACACATAACTACAGTACAATCTCTACTGCTTACTATGTGAAAAGAAAGAGATCAACAAATATAAACAATAAATATTAACCTGATCAGTTGGATTTTGTTTTTGTATCGTAGGTTCAAGCTTAATTAATCTTAGCTTCTTTCTCCCTTTTCGTATCATCCCCCTTTGCAGTATTTCAAATGATGAAATTTTAGATAAACTTTATATTTTTTTTTAAAACCAGAGAAGAAAAATAATTAGATACATATTTGTGTGCTAACCCACTAAGAATTAAAAAAAGTTGGATTTGAACATGATTTTTTTAAGGACATAAAATTGGGCTTATAACAAGTTTTACGGGGACTCGGGCATTCCCTTCGCCTATTCTGATGTTTTAATATTTTCAGGCACTTGCTTGGAAGCTTGTATTATGATTGTTTACAAACTCATGTTACCAGTATAATTTAATCTATTAAAAAAAAAATATACAATTTAAATTTAGGATATGCATGACCCAGACAACTTGGATATGAATTTACTGATATTTTTTTGTGGGCAGAAAATTGCCTGTGTAAATTTGAATTAAAATTTTCTCATTATGAAATATATTATATTTTAGTCTGCACTTATCTATATCAGAAGTACCTTGTACACGTGGTTTAATATCCCATCAATAAAACCATCATATCTTCTAAAAAAATCATTTGTATCATTCATGTCATCAAATCATTAATTTTGCAAATCATTCCCTGTGAATTTTGTGAAAATTTATTGTGATATTAGTTTAGCATTAATAATAACACAATTTAATCTACCATGGCATAAACATGGTGTATCTTTTTCTCTTCATTTTGCATATTTGCTCACCTTATTTGTAGCATATTAATGCATATGTGTATACAGTATTTACACAAAATGTCAAGTTTTTCTTCAATATTTCTTTCAACAACCAAGCGCATAAAAATCAGTACCGGCACATTTGAAAAAATTCTTTCACAGTATTTTCGTTATTCTTCCAAGAATTAAATGATATGTTCATTGTTCATAATCAGAATTACATGTATTTGTAATATTTCAAATATATTTTACAATGAATCAGCATATAACAGTAATATTATATATAAAATATTATATATAGCATATTATTTTGTGTGTTTTTTTTATATACTTCACAGTAACCAAGAAAAAAAACCCTCAAATTCACATGAAGTATAAAATAAGTATTGTCTACAATTGCTTTTAAAACCTTTCACAAATATTACTATTCGAGATGCATGTTTTGAAAATATGGATAGAATAGTTGCCTAGCTTACACTTTTGTTTGACAAGTTTTAATGAACTGTTTTGTGAATGTATGAGCACTTCATCCTACTTCTTGCAGGTAGCCTAAAAATGGTTGAAATTGAAAACTATTTCAGTCTGAGGCTTTCAGTTGTTCATTTCATGTAATCTATTTCAAAATATCAGTAGTTATTGATCATTATTGAATAAGTAATTAGTTGCTATATGTGGCCATAACATTAAAGTTATATATGAATGTTATTGTACATTAAATTTGTACATTTTGTATAGACTTGTGCTGTAATAATAAATGCTGCTTACAAGGAAGTTATTTCAATTATTGACAAGTTGCAATCTTTCATCAATAAACACTTTCATTTATGCCTCCGTAAGTCGGGTTACAGTCTTTTGGAAAGGAAATATATTATTCTTTTTTCATTCACATATGGTAGGCGTTTAGGACTAGAACATACGAAGATGTGATATGCTTGTCAATGAGAAATTGATCCTCCAGAGTCCAAACAAGATGGATGTAAGCAATTTATGGGATATTGTTCAGCCTTCAACAATGAGCAAAACTCATAATGAATAGTCAGCTTCTGAGTTCAGTCTTTATTGTGAGGCTTCTGATTTCAGGATAATTGTCCTTTGTTAATCAACCTTTCAGCAAATCAATAAACACTTTCATTTATGAGCCCAATGGCAGTCGTTTGGGACTAGAAAATATGAAGATGTGATATGATTACCGATGAGAAAACAATCCTCAAGAGTCTAAACAAGGTGGATGTAAGCCTTCACCAATCCATAAGGTAACTTCTGAGTTCAGTGTTTATTGTGAGGCTTCTGATTTCAGGATAAATGTCCTTTGTATAGTCTGCACTTCAGTGTTGACATGAATTATCATTGCTATGGTCATAATTATAAATTAACTGTTTACAAAACTTTAAGTTTTTCTGAAATAATAAGAATTTTCTACCCCAGGAAAAGATAACCTTAGCTTCATTTGACAAATCCTTTCAGAATTTTGGGTCCTAAACGCTCTTAAACTTCATACTTTATTTGGTCTTTTGAACTTTTTTGATTGGAGCGTCTGGCATACAAAATTTTAAATCTGGTATCTATGATGAGTTTATTGTAAATCAACCTTTCTGCAAAATCAAGAGCTTCAAATTGACACATTCGTTTTTCCTAGTTATGACATTGAATGAAGTAAACCCTGTTAATTTTTTTATACGACCGCAAAAAATTTGCGTTCGTATATTGCTATCACGTCGTCATAGACGTTTTCCGAAGACATTTGGTTTCCTGACAATAACTTTAGTTGAAGTGAATGGATTTCTATGAAATTTAACCAAAAGGTTCAATACCACAAAAGGAAGGTTGGGATTTTTTTTTTGGGGGGGGGGGGGGGGGGGTGATGGTCCAAAGCGATTAGGAATTAGGGGCCCAAAACAAGCATTTTTCTTGTTTCAGGACAATTACTTGTGTTTAAGTATTTTGATTGCTCTGAAATTGTACCACAAGGTTCAATACCACAAGTAGAAGGTTGGGATTCATTTTGGGGGTAATTGCCTAAACCGTTTAGGAATAAGGGGCCAAAACAAGCATTTTTCTAGTTTTCAAACAATAACTTGTTTTTAAAGTGTATGGATGTCTCTTAAAGTATACCACATTTTACATAAAGAAAATTTCTTCTAATATTATTTTTTTGGAAGATGGGGGTAAAAAAAAATTTTTTTGGGGGGGTCAATTTTTATGCCCCCGTTGTAGCGGAGGGGGCATTAAGTTTTACCCTTGTCCGTCTGTACGTTCGTCCGTACCTCCCAAAGTTGGTTTCCGTTCTCTAACTTTAGTTTGCCTCAACCAAATGTTATGAAACTTATACACAATGCTTATAACCACAAAACACAGATCGAGTTTGAATTTTGGT